TGAAAAGGAATATGTAACACAACCATGATGTTGATTGATTTTGTTGTGAATATATAAGTATGGAAAAAGGGTTGTAACTCTAAATGGGTTTATATTGATGCTTGCTATTTTTGCAAAATTTCAAAAAAAAAGAAGAAGGAAATAGAGATTTGATCATGAATAGAGTAATTGTGCAGAGATATTGTGAATGGAAGGATGTGGCATTGCATGATTAATTGTTGCATAGCATTGTTAATTGTTATTGCATTTCAATTAATTGGAATATGATAAATTTTGCATTGAGACTTGAAACAATTGCATTGAGAAGGGAATGTTGTGAAATAAATCATCATTGAAATGTTTTGGGGTAAATACGTTGGTAAGTTCGGATAGGAGGTGTAGATGAAATTGATTAAGTTGGCCTGAGTGTCCAGGGTGAAAGACCGAAAACACGCGCAGAGTAGGTGTCACGTGCCTTCCGGTTAGCTACCGGTAGAGTGGAATTTTGGTAGTGCCAGTTATGCCTACTTGCAGACACCAACCTAGGGATTACTTGAGTCGTATTTACCGCCCCGTGAAATTGAAGTAAAATTATTGAATTGTTGAAAATTTTAATGTCGCATTGTGCATGGAGTTTCAAAAGATATAGATGTAATTTCTCTTTTAAAGGGCATAGCATAGCACGGCATGGGCATTGCACTTTCATGAAAGCTATATAAAATGAATATACTTTGTTAAGAATTTCCTACTGGGCTTTGTGCTCACCCTATGGGATTTTGGTACAGGAAAAGATGTGGTGATTCTTTCTAACTAAGGACGTGGATGTACGTGTTGAGAGTACAAGACTCTTATTTTGTTATGATTATATTTTGTAAGCCACGGGCTTTATTTGTATAGGTTCGAGTAACCATTTTTGTGTAACCGGGCTTGAGCTTTCGAATGTGTAACCCATGAGGGTGTTTTGCTTATTTTTAAATTAAATGTTCTACATGCTATAGATTCAGGTGTTAGAATTCTTTGAATGTATATTCACATGTGGAACCATTTTGCATGAACCTCATGATTATGAAATGCATTCTTAGGGATTTAATCCGGTTTATTGTAAGGAGCATTGATTGATGTATTATCACTATGCATAATTATTGGGGCGTTACACTATAAGAGACCAAACTTGGGAGAAGAAATTGAAAGATCTTCACATTCATGGTAAATGTATGAGATATTTGAAAAAAGTAAGTTACAAAATCTATATTGAAACTTTTTATTTTTATTTTTATTATAATTGATGTCAGTTTTATAAGATAAATATAAAGTAGTACACACTATAGTCCATGTATATAATAACAATGTGAAAGTAATCGCAAAACATAATTGAATATTATTTCAGTTAAATATTCTTTGGGTAAATTACATTTACCTCCCCTGAGGTTTCTGACAAATACAAGGACCTCCCCTGTGGTTTGAATAATTACAATAACTCCCCTACTTTACCTGACAATATCAAGATTCCCCCATTCCCTCTATTTTGCACAAACAACGTTAGTATCCAATAGAAAATGACCATGTTACCCTTGCTTTTGGTTGCAAAAAGACCAAAAAGCCCTTTGTTCACAAAATCCCTAATCAAGCTACATTCACAATACAAATCGAATTCTTCAGAGAAAGAAGAGAGAGGGGGAGACGACAGTAAAAACGTGAAGCAAGGTTGATCTGTGTGAAGAAGACGAAGAAGCTATTCGATTTTGGACCGACCGTCGTTGCCAGTGCACAATGTAAACGAGTTTCATTGGTGAGAAGTTGTTGTTACGGCTTCCAGGTAAGATTTCGAACTCTGTAAACTTCGAATATGATTAATTTGAGTTGATGATTTTTGATTTTTTTTTTTCCATCTTTTTTCTTACAAATTTGTTTCTATTCTGTGTTTGATTTGATGAAATGTATGTGAAAAGGGTTTTCTTCAAAAATATATATTTAGGGTTTATATTTTATTTGCAACATTTTTGTCTGGAAAAAAGGAATTTATTAATAATAGTGTAATGTAGGGATTTAATATAAATTTTTGATTTTTTGGATTTTATTTATGAGATGTATGTCTACATGTTTAGGGATTTTTGGATTTTATTTATTCGAAGCTTACATGTTTAGGGCTTTTATTTAATTTGCAAAATTTCTGATTGGAAAAAAAGGAATTTGTTGAAAATTTATGAATTTCTGATTTTCTGGGTGTAATTCATGAGATGTATGTTTAGGATGAATTTATGATTTTTTGGGTTTTACTTATGATTGTTTAATATTAGTATAATTATAGTGTAATATAGGGATTTCTTCATGTTTTCATATTTTCTTCAGTTAATTGTATGGGCTTACTTATTTTATTAGGGCTTTTCTTCATTTTTTCTTCTTTCCTTCAGTTAGTTGTTGAGTATAGTACATGTTAGGACTTAATTGGTACGTCATTATGATCATAGTATGGCTGCATTTCCTTATTTTGATTTAATCATCAACTACAAAGGGAAAGTGGGAAGAGTGTATGATGTGGACCCACATATGTATTGCTACATTGATGCCTTAAAGGATGTAGCTGCAATAGTCCTCTTTCACATTTCTTATAGTGAAGCAATAGCAATCACATTGCATTGCGATATGCCTAGTACTGACACAAGGAGATTAATAGAAAATGATCTTGATGTGCTAGACATGTTTTATGTGCAAGGTAGGAGTAAAACAATTAACTTGTATGTAGACATAGCATATTCTATTGGAATGAGTGATGGTGGACATAAAAGTGATGTTGGAAATGAAAATGGTAGAGGTGGAAATCATGGAGTAGATACTGTAGATGTAGAGCAAGACTACCATACTGTAGATGTAGATGAAGAGTACCATGAGGACAATGTTTATTGGTTTAGTGATGAGGATAGAGATTGGGATGCAACTCCTGCGGATGAAAACCAATCAAATGGCAATGAGATTTTGAGTGATGATGATAATAAGTGCTCAAGTGAAGATGATGATGCTGAACTTAGTGATTACCAATCTGGTGATGATGAAGTGGCATATTCTACTACTGATGATGATTATGATGATGAAGTAGACTGTCTAGATGATAAAGAGATGAGGTTTCTAGGCATGAAGTATGATGGTACCTACAATGGAAAAGAGCCATATATGAATCAAGATGGAGAAGTTGTATTGGAAGAAAGGATGATTTTTCCAGAAGTGAATACTTTCAGGGCTACATTAAGGGACTAAACAACGCAAACTAGTTTCAAGATAGTAAGAGACAAAAATGAGAAGTCTAGAGTAATAGCCCATTGTGCTACTGAGGGTTGCCTTTGGAGAATTCATGCATCTCCACTTCCAGATGGGATCACCTACAAGATTAAAACCTTAGTACCTACTCACACATGTAGCAGTATGAACACAAACACTGAAGCTACATCAGCTTGGATTGCTAACAAAACGGTTGAAAGTTTTAAGGACAATCCCCACATGGGCTTACATACTATGCAAGTGAAACTAAATAAAATGTTTGGGATTGAGGCTTCAAGAATGCAACTGTATAGAGCCAAAAGGAGGTGCAAGGAGGAGCTGGAGGGTGATCATGGGTGCCAATATGTGTTGTTGCCAACATATGCTGAGGAACTCAACAAAACAAACCATGGTAGCTTGGTGGTCATAAATTATGACCCACCATCTACCCCAGTCTTAGAAGATGGAGAAGAACCAAACCCTACCATTCCTCAGTATCTATTGTTCCAAAGAATTTTCATATCATTTGATGCAATGAAAGCAAGGTTCATTAATGGATGTAGGCCATTCATTGGGGTAGATGGTTGTCACTTGAAGGGTCTCTATGGTGGTGTTTTAATTTCAGTAGTTGCCTTAGATGGAAATAATGGCTTGTTTCCATTGGCATTGGCAGTGGTAGAGGGTGAAAGCAATGACAATTGGTCTTTTTTTCTTGCATAACTTGAGAACAATCATAGAAGAGGCACTACCTTCTAGACCATGGACCATCATGTCTGATCAACAAAAGGTACATTACTGACATATTCAAAAACTACTTTACTTACATAATTATGCTTGATTCTCTAATTTTAAACTTCTTATGGTTACTAATGTTTCATTGTTTTTGTATACAAGGCCTTGACAAGATTGTGAGTGACATTATACCAGAGGCAACTCATAGAAGATGTTGCATGCACTTATATAACAATTTCAGAGCCAAATTTTCTGGTTTAATTTTGAGAAAGCAATTTTGGAGGGCAACAAGGGCTTACAATAAGATGGAGTATGATCAGGCTATGCAAGCCATTAAGGACCTGAACAATGATGCTTTCATTTGGTTGCAGAAGGTTCCAGTTGAAGGAACGTCTAGGCATGCATTTGATGGTAGGATTAGGAGTGATCACATCACAAAAAACATGACAGAGTCCTTCAACAATTGGTTAGGAAATTTGAGAACTCAGCCAATTTTAACTATGTCATAGGGCATAAGGTGCAAGTTGATGGGTAAGTTTCAAATGAGGTACCAAAAGGCAATGCAATGGAAATCTAATGTGACATTGAATGTGAAGAAACAACTTGAGGTCACACTGAAATGGTGAAGGACTTGCACAGTTGAGTATACAAGAGGTAATGAGTATGAGGTGAAGGATAATGAGGGGGTTAATCACATTGTCCATATTGGGGCTATGACTTGTGCATGTAGACAGTGGGAAATATCTAGTCTTCCATGCAAGCATGCTGTGGCTGCAATTTCTCACAGTAGGTTAAACATAGAAGATTTTGTCCACCCTTACTATTCTAAGGCAACTTACTTGAGAGCCAATGGTGGAGTGATATATCCCATCTTATACCATAGCATGTGGACACTTATACCTGGGGACCTTATACAACCCCTACCTCTGAAAAGATTGCCAAAAAGGCCAAGGACTTCATGAAAGAGGGCAGCACATGAGCCACCAGCTGGAACAAGTTAGAGCAAAAGGTCCAGTACCTTGAGATGCAAATGGTGCATGCAATTTGGACACAACAAAAGAACTTGCCAAAGAGGTCTAGTCAATGGTGGAGCATCTGCTGCTGGTAGGGGCAGTGGCACATCCAGTGGTAGAGGCAGTGCCAAAACTGCTGATAGGGGCAGTGGCAGATTTGTGAGCATGGGCAGAAGCAGTGGTAGATCTGTGAGTAGGGGCAGGGGTAGAGGCAATTCAAGTGGGAGAGGTAGTTCAGTTGAGAGGGGAAACGCAAGTGATAAAGACAATTCAAGTGGGAGGGATAGTTCAGTTGGGAGGGGAAATATAACTACAAGTGGAAGTTCAACTGGGAAGGGGAGTTCAAGTGGGAGAGTAAGTTTTTTCTATTTGTTTTGCCTTTTCATTTGTGATTTTTATTTGTTTTGTCTATTCATTCATGAAATTGATATGCATATTTATTACCTTACTTTGGTTTTTAATTTAGGATATTCCAAGAGAGACCCCCCCAATGCCTACTCAGTGTGTGACACAGGTCACATAACATCATGTTAGTTATGAACTTAGTTATGAAACTACAATGAAATTATTTTCTTATTTTTTTCAGCTTGCATGAATCCAACATTGCATTTTTTTTTATTTGTTTGTTTGTTTGACTTTTTTTTTGTTTTTTTTATTTTGTAGATGACTTAGCTAAGCTGTTGATATTTTGGGTACAAGGATTAACATAGATTGAAGGTATAAAATATATGTTGCTTGACTGTATAGTTAGTGAGGATTATGTTCCACTTTTTTGTATTTTTGTAGTGGACATCCAATGCTAAGAATAGCTCAGAATAACAATCTGATGATGTGGCCACTTTTGTTTTTTTGTAGTGGCCATGAAGTATTTTATAAATACTCATTTTGGGAATGTAGATGATGTAATTGCATAGACTTGGCAAATATGGTCCATGGAATGTGGCCACTTTTGTTTTTGTTTTTTTTTTTTTTTTTTTGGTAGTGGCCATGAAGTATTTTATAAATACTCATTTTGGGAATGTAGATGATGTAATTGCATAGCCTTGACAAATATGGTCCATGGAATGATGTAACTGAACATATCTGATAGAAATGATGTAAGTAAACTGATTGAACATATTTGAGAACAATCATGATGTAATTAAACAGTCCTACTTGATGTTTAGATGACGTAATGGAATGGTCTTTATGTTTACAGTTTATTATGTTAGTCAAATTAGAAGTGCATATTTACATAATGCTGAAATAACTTCATCATATTTATATATGGTCCATTACAAAACATACTGCATTACAAAACATAAGGTCTATTACAAAATATTACAAAACCTTACATAAGGTCCATTACAAAACATTAGGTAAATCATTACCATTACATTTTGAAAGCAACCATTAGGGAAATCAAACATAAAACAACATTCATGATCATTATTATCTTCATAAACCCCATGTTTGCTTCAAGTACTTACATCCTTGTTTGCATACCCCCCATTTGGTTCATTAAATTCATTGCATGACTTTCTTCTTCATAGGATGAAGTGTGTCTGTTAACAGTTGCGTGAGTGTCTTCCATCATCATTTCTCTTCCAACAGATGAGTTTATTGGTTTGCACCAGTCCTAGAATGCGCATTTCCCATTTGGGCATAAATAATACATTTTGCCTCTGTTTTTTTCAGATTCAGTGACTTTAATTGCTTCTTTGCTCCCATAGTAGCAGAGCTTGCTTCTATATTTCATTACCCCTCCTCTATTACTCGATGATAACATATCCATCCAATGAACCTACATTCATGAAATGTGAGAGTTATAATGCATTTTCAAAACATATATTGCATTTTGTTGTTATTGTGCTTTATTTTTGAATAATGGGACATACCTGTGTTGGATGTTTGATGTTTGTGCTTTATTTGTCAAGAATGGTTCATGCGGTTTGTGCTTTGTGCTTTGAAATTGTTATTATTATTATTTTGGACTGGTTAGTTGTTATTCACACGCAAATTTTTTTTTAAAATAGTTTATGTGAGTGGGAACATACCTGTGCTATGCTTGGACCTCTGTTATCTCATTTTTGTTGTTTTTCAATTTTGGTCGCCTCTGTAATTTTTCTTTTTTCACCTAGATGCCTCTGTAATTTTCCCTCTTTCACTTGGATTTGCTGAGTTGGAATAAGTCAGAGCAAAAGGTCTAGTACCTTAAGATGCAAATGGTGCATGCAATTTGGACATAACAAGAGAACTTGCCAAAGAGGTCCAGTCAGGAGCATCTGCTGTTGGTAGGGGCAGTGGCATATCCAGTGGTAGAGGCAGTGGCAAAACTGCTGGTAGGGGCAGTGGCAGATCTGTGAGTAAGGGCAGAGGCAGTGGCAGATTTGTGAGTAGGGGCAGAGGTAGAGGCAATTCAAGTGGGAAAGGTAGTTCAGCTGAGAGGGGAAATGCAAGTGGTAAAGGCAATTCAAGTGGAAGGGACAGTTCAACTGGAAGAGGAAATACAACTACAAGAGGAAGTTCAGCTGGGAAGGGGAGTTCAAGTGGGAGAGGCAAGGGCAAGGTCAAGCATGCACAAGTAAGTTTTTTCTATTTGTTTTGCCTTTTCATTTGTGATTTTTATTTGTTTTGTCTATCCGTTTATGATATTGATATGCATATATATTTTTTTTTTTTGGTTTTTTGTGTGTTTGTGCAGATGATTTAGCTAAGCTGTTGATATTTTGGGTACAAGGATTAACATAGATTGAAGGTATAAAATATATGTTGCTTGACTGTATAGTTAGTGAGGATTATGTTCCACTTTTTTGTATTTTTGTAGTGGACATCCAATGCTAAGAATAGCAATTTGATGATGTGGCCACTTTTTTTTCGGCAGTGGCCATGAAGTATTTTATAAATACTCATTTTGGAAATGTAGATGATGTAATTGCATAGACTTGACAAATATGGTCCATGGAATGTGGCCACTTTTGTTTTTTTGTTGTGGCCATGAAGTATTTTATAAATACTCATTTTGGAAATGTAGATGATGTAATTGCATAGACTTGACAAATATGGTCCATGGAATGTGGCCACTTTTGTTTTTTTGTTGTGGCCATGAAGTATTTTATAAATACTCATTTTGGAAATGTAGATGATGTAATTGCATAGACTTGACAAATATGGTCCATGGAATGTGGCCACTTTTGTTTTTTTGTTGTGGCCATGAAGTATTTTATAAATACTCATTTTGGAAATGTAGATGATGTAATTGCATAGACTTGACAAATATGGTCCATGGAATGTGGCCACTTTTGTTTTTTTGTTGTGGCCATGAAGTATTTTATAAATACTCATTTTGGAAATGTAGATGATGTAATTGCATAGACTTGACAAATATGGTCCATGGAATGTGGCCACTTTTGTTTTTTTGTTGTGGCCATGAAGTATTTTATAAATACTCATTTTGGAAATGTAGATGATGTAATTGCATAGACTTGACAAATATGGTCCATGGAATGTGGCCACTTTTGTTTTTTTGTTGTGGCCATGAAGTATTTTATAAATACTCATTTTGGAAATGTAGATGATGTAATTGCATAGACTTGACAAATATGGTCCATGGAATGTGGCCACTTTTGTTTTTTTGTTGTGGCCATGAAGTATTTTATAAATACTCATTTTGGAAATGTAGATGATGTAATTGCATAGACTTGACAAATATGGTCCATGGAATGTGGCCACTTTTGTTTTTTTGTTGTGGCCATGAAGTATTTTATAAATACTCATTTTGGAAATGTAGATGATGTAATTGCATAGACTTGACAAATATGGTCCATGGAATGTGGCCACTTTTGTTTTTTTGTTGTGGCCATGAAGTATTTTATAAATACTCATTTTGGAAATGTAGATGATGTAATTGCATAGACTTGACAAATATGGTCCATGGAATGTGGCCACTTTTGTTTTTTTGTTGTGGCCATGAAGTATTTTATAAATACTCATTTTGGGAATGTAGATGATGTAATCTATGACTTCAATTTCAACAAATTCAACTCAATTTCCTTATAATCAAACTAATTCATGTTCTTGGCCATTAATCAAACTTGAATCTACAAATTCCAAACAAAATCCATGAGATACTCACCTAGGAGTCTTGATTCTCACAATCTATAACAAATTCTTGAGAAATCTTCAAGGTTTCCAAGCTTTGAGCCAAAAATTGCACAATCTCTCTCCCTTTCTCTCACTATGGTCGGCCCTCTCTCTCTCACAATTGTATAACTCAGATTTTTGAGTTCAAAAGAGTTAAAGGAGAGTGTAGTGCCTTCATACAATAAGCCCCACTGACATTTATTTAATAATAATAATTAATTGGGCTCTAATTCACCAATTTAATCTGGTCCGAATTAATTTTTCAATTAAACTTCACCGTAGGCTCTAAAAATTATGCCAATCACAATGACGC